CCGGAGCAGATTTGCCAAACAGAGACTGTCCAGGACTAATACGAGCAGCAGACGACGTTGCAAGCGAATACGTGACAGGAGACGAAGGGACTACCTGAATCCCAAGATAGAGTCCGCGATTAACCAACATGCTGAGTGGTGGCGCGGTCCGCGACTGCAAGGAATGTTGCAGCCCGACTTTGCTTGATAACAGGGCCACTGCTCTGCTACGTTTTATTGTCCCCGCCCCTTTGTTTACTGTCTCCACCCTTATCATATCGTTTTACCGTTGCTGCATAGCAGTTGGGGCTCCCCTGGGTACTCCCTTGTGTCCCCTTCGCCGCCTTCTTGGCGGTATAACCCATACGCCCCCGTGTCCGTCACTCGAGTTTTCATTCACGGAACGGAAAGTATTGACCACAAAAGCTCGATGAAGCTACACACAAGGAAAACATTACAGCATCATAATCATAACCTACTTGAATAGCAGGAGTAGATTCCTGGGATGCACTATCACTACGGTTCTCCGACGAGGAGTCTTCAACGATAGGTGTCGATGAGGCCTGAGTCGAAGAGAATGCTGGTTCGACACTTGACTTGAACAACTTCGGAACTTGGGATGCTAGAGATACAGGAGGCGCCGAGCTTGTGGATGCGGACTGTGTAACACCCGTATGGGTAGACGACTGAAAATAACAAAACGCTACAAAACGATCTATAATGGTAAGCAAAGAAAAACGTACTCCTGAAATTGTGTCAGCCGATGTGGTTACTGTAGGTGGATTTTGGAACCGTACTGGTGAGTCAAACGACAATCGCTTTGGAGTTGAAGCTGAGACAGCACCACTTCCACCAGAGGCATTACTGAAATGATTACCACTAGAATGTGTTGCACAACTGCTAGTCCCCTCACTCATCGTATAGACCATATCACATTCAAGCTACGATTCTTAATGGGAGTAGAATGGGTGGCGCATTCTAGAAAGGGACTGATCAACGGCGAAAATTTTGCCTTTTATGTGTCATCATAGAATAGGACTGCCTGCATTCCATTCCGACTTTTTCTGCAAGTGTGTATGCTCCGATCAGATGTACTGTCAAAGTGACAGGTCGCGATAACCATATGGGCA